TATGGACACAAACTATACAGAAAGGCTCTTCATTTAAATAAGTATTGGCAACCCTTCATAACGGATTAATGCTATCTGTGCTGATGGTTAGAAAACAAATTTCTGTTAATGAATACTCTACATGTTGTCTTTTTCTTTTTTGCCAATTTAAAGCTTAAAAAAAAAAAGACAATCTTGGCTATAAAAGCAATGTTTTGGAATGTGCTCCAACATGATTGATCTGTCTTGTTCTTTTGGCAACTTAGCTAAAGTATTTTCATCAAATTTTATGATTTTATATGATTTGAAGTAATAAAGCATGACAGCCTCAAATTGATGACCTTACAGAATTTTGTCTCTAAAAATGCATTACCATAACTATATTACAAACCTTAATTGTAAATTGTTTTTTTCAATTTTCCCAGCTGTTTTTGCAATTTAAGCATACTTTGAGACATGCTTTTTCCCATCTGTGCTGTCATTTTTATATTTATTTTCTTCAAGAAAACATGGCAGTCAGTCTTACACAAAAAGTTGAGTGTTTCATGAAAAAAATCCCACAAAGAATCACTGAAATGCCATCAACTATTCCTTCTTTCAAATCTGACTGTATTAATACCACTTTCCCTCTCCCCTGCAATGTCCTTAAGATAGGATTCATTGATTGACTTACTCTCTCAAAAGCGGAATTTCTGAAAAAATGCATCACTAACAGTCAGCTATTAGGTTTTGGCAATTACCTTGTCCAAAACAAGAATCAAGTAATCAAGGTTAACACACATGAACACTTAAGTCATACACCAGCTATTAACTGAATTGAAAAGAGATTAAAAATTATCTTCTATAATTAGCCATGTGGTACAGGAGAAATCTGGCAAATAATCCCTGCTGCACTATCCAAATTTGAGCAAAATATTGTAGCAGACAGACATGCTGTTCAAACCCAACTGCCAAGCTTCTGAACTCATGGATGGGGACTGAAGCGTTTCATTGCTGTGCCCTTCTCTCTTGTAAATGACCCAAGCTATTCTCCCCCCTTCAGAAATTCTGAGTGTGCTATTGCTTATAAAGGAAGGAGGCTCCTTGGCAGGAGCTGATGAATAGAACTCTACAAAGCAGCGTGCCACAAAGAACTGCAGTCTTGCAAAATGGCTGCTAATCCTTGGTGTTGTCAATGAAGCTCAGTTTTGGCTGCCTTAGCTGGAGCCTGTATTGAAAAAGTTCTTCCCCGCCCCTCCTCACTTTCCCAGAGTATGCAATGGGAACACATTCTGCTCTTGCTCACGTCAGTGGGAGATGATGGGCGTTTTGTATGAAAGTAATTCTTTTATTCATCTTTGAAGAAATATGAAAGTAAGCACTTGCCACTAAAAAAAATTATGAACCGTAATTGTAAAAAGTCTCACTTTCTACAGTGTTGAGTTGTATGATGAAGAGAGAGGGGAATCTAAGCAAAGAGGGATGAGTGCATATCTTGGTTCAGGTCAGGACATGCAGAGAATGCACAAAAGTGAGAGAGGATTAGTGAATATGAAGGAAAGAACAGAAGGGATTTATGTAATCTAATCATGCTTTAAATTTTCAGGGGAAAAAACCCACAAGAAGCTGCAAAGCCACTTAATAGGTCAATATCGTTTTGATGCTTCATGTTGCTCTAAATTAGAATAAACGAGCCAGATCATGAAACTGCCTTTAAGTCTTAAAACGAATCCCTTTTGATGTTCATATTTCATGCTTTTGAGTAAGCACAAATAGCATATTCTCTAAGTTAGTTATTTAATATTTTGGAAGTTGAAAAACAGATGTGAAGACAAACTGTTAAACTGGAGTCAAGAGGATACTTCAATGGTTTAGAATACATCACATAAATGAGATATTATTTGAAAAACATTAGATACTTGGAGATAGGCTTATACTTACAGATATTCAAATATGGTAAATTATAAAAATGCAGATCTGTGTGTCCGAACAAAACTGCTTCCTAAGGTTGCAAGCACAGTGACAAGGGGAATAAAAATCTGGCAACCAGAACCACCAGATGCCTTAAATTGTAATCACAGGTTTTGCGTACTGTAATCTCAGCAACCTTACAGCTGTGTGTTTTAACAGGGCAATTGCCTAAGCCTACCGTAAAATGTTTACCTTACCTTTAAGCCCAGAATTAACTCCTTTTCTAGTACTGTGGTTTGGAATAACTCAGTGATAACATTTTCAAAGAAGTCATGCAGTTCGGTAATCCTATTTGCAGAGATTACTTTGCTCAGATTCTCATTCTGATCTCTCTCTAGTGAATAAGGAACCAGCCTTGAAGAATGAGGTTTAATATCCGCAATTATTTTATGAAAGAATCAAAGCTCTTGCTTGGTCTTTCTTTGTTCATCTGTTTATTGCCTTTTTTTTTTTGTGGGTCTTTTTTCTAAATTAAAGAAGATAGATAACAATATTTTCAATACTTTCTCATATGTTAGCTTTCTGATACCTGAGATGTCTCTCTCCTTTTTTTCTCTGCATGTCCTTTGTTTTTCCCAGTGTCCCTTCTAACTGCTGATGTGCGTTCAGTCTGCCAGGCAAGACCATATACTTGATATGATGGATATGGCTTGATGATCTTACAGGTCTTTCCAACCTAAACAGGTCTATGATTTTATAAAGCCATTACAATACTTGACTGTGGTACTGAGGTAAATAAAATGCATTCTGGAGATCTCCCTTTATTTTCTTTTAACAAAGGTGCATTTGAGCAAAGGTCTTTTCCAAGTTGTCTATAATGATGTCCAGTTCTCCAGCTTCAGTTGCTAAAGTTAATTTAGACTCATAGAAATTGTTTAATCTCCAGATGTCTGGCCCTTTCAGAGGGACACATATTAATTGCTGTTTCTTGGTCTTCATGGAGCAGCATCTAACTTTAGTGAAAAATTACTTCTTTTTATCTATATAAAAGCCTTCAGAATTTTGCACATCTCCTTGGGCTACGGTGCACTAAATATCATCTTGCACTGCTTTTTAAGTTAAATTATCACTATACTCCAACATCTTATAGCCTAATCATCAAGGATCAAAAAATGTCTTACCCTTACTACACAATTAAAAGCTGCTGATCTTAGTTCAGCAGAAAAGAAGTTGACCTAAAAGATGTCACCAAAGTTTTTAAAAAAATTCCAACATGTTTGGTTAAATTAGATTCGTCTCTGCATGGGGAAGCTTTTGAAAATGAGGAATATCTAGGAGCAAAAGGTTAACACTCAAGAACTGATCCTGTGAGTAGAGAACAAGTCTTAATTGCCATAATGCAATGGCAATTCAAGGTATCCGTGTTAGGTTATCGTGCCAAAACCCAATCGGTTGTATGCTTATTTAGTATTCAAAAAGGTTATTATGCAAAGAGCATCTAAAGGCTGTCTAAAGGCTATTCTTAAATCCTTCTGGTACACCTGTGAAGTAAGTACACTTATGCAGCAGTATAGTAGATGAGGGTCAAAGCTTGTGCTAGATCTGAAGTCTCTGTTGTGCATTGCAGTCCACAAGCCGCATGGGGAGAATGGAGTGAACAAACAAATACTGCTTTGAAAGTTTGGTCACACTAGACAAGAAGAAACAATGCTTACTTCAAACTAAGAATATACTTCCAGTTTTAGAGGTTTTAACTTCCTAATACACCTTGCTTGCTTCATTTGACACCAACTGTGAAGTCAGAAAAAAAAAATCCAATCCTTGCTCACGGGGAAACATTCCAAGGTGATAGATCTGCTAATTGATCTTCAGCTGGTCAGAAGTGGAATGGCTATATCTGAACAGTGGTTTGATAGAATATTAAACCATAAGCTGCTTTTTCCTCAGTGATATGGAAGTAGCTATACAATAATCTTCAAAGCTCCTCCTCACTACACACCATTATTCATATCAAGATAGCATTATCAAAATAATATTTTAAAAAAATCAAGATATCAACTTGTTTTACCATTTTCCTTAGATTAGGAATTCGTGATGTTTTATAATTTGTGCTTAATGACACTAGCTATTTGTTATTAGCTAGTATACTCTTTGTAGGTACAGCGTGAAGCTCAAAAATTATTATAGTTCTCTTGCTAAAACAATGTTGGAGTGAAGTAGAAGTTTGAGTCTAGAAGTTTGTAGAAATTTCACCAGTCAATGAAAAAAAAAGAAATCACATGGCCTTGATTTTTAAGAGTTGAAACATAAGCAATGGCTCATGAAATATGAAATATTTGCAAAGTTATTGAGAAAACGACCGTAAAGAAGCACGGAGAAAAATCAGACTCCTTTTGGATAATCCAGACACATGGAAAGAAAGACTTCATGAAAGGTTACTTGAATTTGCTCCTTGCTACTTATTTTCTCCTTGCTTTCCTTGAAAGCAGTCTTCTCTGTTATAAAATGACTACCAAAAAAGCTTTATTAGTTTAGAAACAGAAATGACTTCAGAATCAAGTATTTAGAACAGTTTTTGCATTCCTAAATATTAAGCATTTAAAGTATTTATAAGTTTTCCTGCTGTTTCATGTCTTTATTTGAAATTCTCTCTGATAAAAATGCGCACATAACAGTGCTAAAGGACATCTGACCTCTTCTCTGACTTCTAGTCATGTGATGAAAAATGCTTTTGAAAATATTTAACACTAGATACAGGAAGCTAAGCTTTTGTCTTCTAAAAAATTCCCATCGCTGCCAAAGCTAGTGAAGCTCCTCTGGTGATTACAATGGTGGGAGCACTAAGGCAGAAAAGCTTCCAAGTGCCCGCAAGCATTCTCATTGCCGTGCCTTCTGCATACCTTCTCCAAATCTCTGTTCCTGCCTTTAGAAAACGGGTGGCCCCACTTTCCTTGTCATATTTGTCCTTCCTCTCACAGAACTTAACGTTGGGAAGCTTCATATAAATGCATAATAGACGAGGACAAAGAACAAAATTTGTTTAGTGAGGCAGCCAGCAGGCTTACTGTACTATCCTCCCCTTCCAACATTTAAAGAATGCAACTATCTTCTCTCTTTCCTTTCCCATGTAGCTTGAGAATTACATCCAAGACAGTATGAAGAAAGAAATGGTAGAGATCCAGCAAACTGCAGTGCAGAACCAGACTGCAGTAATGATTGAAATAGGCACAAACTTACTAAATCAAACAGCTGAACAGACCCGCAAATTAACAGATGTTGAAGCACAAGTAAGTAAAGAATTTCACCCTAAAAATACTTCTGCTTCCCAAACACCTACAACTATACACTTAACACAGATTAGTGTTACACTATTCAGTTCAACGATTAGAAGTCAATCACTATAATGAACAGCTCTATGCAGCTTAAGGAAATGTCAGTATTTGGTAACACATAGTTCCATCTCAAGCCCACTGTTGTCACTTGAAAGACTTCCATTACAGCAGGAGTTGAAGTATGTCCAGCAAGACAATCGTTACATTCATCTTCAAAGATCATGTACTTAAAACTACTATATCCGAGCATCAGTTGGGTACTGGTATGCTTTTATACAACCTTTACTGACTATCTGTTGATTATCTATCTCTCACCTCCAGATCTTAGCTAATCAAGAGTTCCTTCAAACTGCCTTTGTTCCATTTACCAAGCTAATTCCTTTTTTTACACCTATTTTTTCTTTGTACTTTTTAAAACTTCTTATCAGGAAAAATGTGTCTTTTTAACGAATGTTTTCACAGATGCTGTAAGTGGGATAATAGTTCATTTCCAGCACAATGCATGTTATTGTTCTTTAATGGGGATAAATTAATCAGAGATGAATCAAGAAAAAAGGAATTATGTGGAGGCTACTAGAAAAGTATATTCACACAGAAGTAAATTTGCCTACTGTTCACATTATTCTCTAAATTATTTCAAACAAAAAAGAGGAGTTTAACTTTAATTATTGCTTTAATTGAAAAGCATTAACTACAATAAGACAGTCTGTGAAATCGAATGCAGATTTTAATATGTTATAAGGACAAGTCTAATTAATGTATGTAGAATAGTATGTATTTGTAGTTTTGCTAACACGGCAGGAAAATTCTGATGTACAATTCCCAAAACAAATAATGAATATAACATTTTCTATAACATAAACAGCATGCAAAACTTAAAATCCTTGTTAGACATTTTACTATCTGTAGAATTCAACCAGTGAATTAAATTACATTTTTTAACCTAATCAAGACTTTGTGAACTCTTTGATAAACTGATAGTTCACAGCTCATAGGCGTACTGAATTCAACTTTCTGATTGCATTATTCAGGAGCCCACTGTTTTGAACATGTTGAAAGAATGTATTTATTCATTCACAGTAATGGCTTTATGGAAATTATTCAATTTTCTGCTCAGAGGAAGAAAATCATCACTGTAACTTTCCTCCTCTGCTTGAAATTACTGGTGACTGGGTTAAGGGCTTAATTAACAACATAAGGAAATTAAACCAAACAATTACTCTCTCAAGGACACTTACTTTTGGCAGTAGTTTTCAATTGCACTTAAGTGTGAAATCATGTCCTGAATGACTGTTTAACATGAAGGACATGAGTAATCAATTCTTCCTGCCAAGGAAAGCCAAATTCTGCTGAATTAAAAAAAGCTGTTCTAAAACAATGAGAAAATATTTCTAGAAAACATGCCTTAAAGTAATGCAATCCGATACAAACCAAAAAGTATCTTCCACATTTCCTAACAGCTGCCTTTCTTCATTTAAAGTTGCAAATATTTAGATAGTAAACCATACATATAGAAAAGGTAACATTAAAATGCAAGGAATGAATCAACAAAAGTGTGATTCACATGATAAACACTTTAAAATATAATTTGGGATTAAGGAAAATAGCTAAAAAGGAATTATCTAGCAATTTCAGGACTGGGCCAAGATTTTGACCAGTAAGAGATATGCAAAGTGCCTTCTTTCTATACCAGATTGAAAAATGAACTCTACTTATTATTCTCTGAACAACAACCATAATAATTCCAGTAATGAAATAATATCATAACAGAGGGGAAGGTATAAGGTATGACAGCAAAACTAAAGCACACAGTAACATTGATCAGAAACATAGCATACTACTGAAATATTCCCAATGATATATGGTAGTGTAAGAACAAAATTAGTGCAACTCTGTATATTCTTCTTCATTCTAATTCTATGACAGCATTTCTGCCTAAATTAAGTGTTCAGGAATATTTTTTAAATTACAGGCTTAAGTAGAGATTTGTATGATTTCACAACATAAAGAAATTACAATTTATTTAAAAGAAGTGTCTTGATTTTCAAATATTTTTGTAAATTTTATTTAGGTATTAAACCAGACAACCAGACTTGAACTTCAGCTTTTGGAACACTCTCTTTCAACAAACAAACTAGAAAGACAGATTTCAGATCAGACCAACGAGATAACTAAATTACAAGAAAAAAACAGGTAAGTTTGCCTATCAATCCAATAAAATGCTACATGACCTGCTAATGGTTTTAGAAACAAACGTACGCAAGTAGGAAATTAAGGCCTTGTACAGAGGCTCCTCACCTCAGCTATGCTCATTAAAAAGGTCATATATTATTAAAGGCCTAGAGAATCATGCAGATTTATTCTTCTGGTGTTCTGTTTATATATAATTCTTTGCTATCTAAAGTTCTTCTTTATATGAGGAACTTAAGGTTAAAACTAAAATACTTCTCAGTATCTCACTTGTGGCTAATTCATATTCTCTAGATGTATCCAGATTAAGTTATGGATTATGTAGACTGACTCAAACTAAGCCAGTGCAACCACATCTCTCAAATTTTATTTTCATGTAGTACACAGATATCCTGATAAACAATCATGTCATCACTACATTTTTTTTCTAACCTGGTGAGAAAAGCCAAATATTATTCATATTCAACATTCCTTACTAGTCGATCTTTTGAAATTCAGACCAATATCCAACTATTACTCCTGTCCATTCTTGTACTCAGCTGTTGTCCAAAGCCTCGTACCTTTCTTCAGCTAGTTTCATTTTCATATCACCAGGGTCTTATTTTACTTTTGGCAAGAAACAGTTTACAGAGAAATCTAAAAGCAGCAATAACAGTAAGTTTTCTCCTTCAAAGCCATGTTTTTCAATGAGAACCATATGTGCAAAGTGCTTTTTATTTTAAAAGAATTAGCTTTAAAAAACCAGGAGACATGTTTTGACATTTTTGTTCGCTACTCTACTACATTTATATATGCTCCCTAAAGGTTTTATCTACCAGCATAATAAAAACAAGCATCCTCATCAAATGGAAAGCAAAGTAAATACTGAATTTTAAAATGTCACTTTTTTTTTGTGTTGAACTCAGCAGACTGTAGACTATTCTTGTAAAACCCACGTAAACAAAAAAGCATTATTTCTCACCTAACAAAAGACAATCTGACATCGAGCTAATCTGCTTGAAACATAATTATAAGGTTCAGGATTCTTTTTAGTAATAGTAATGGATTTTAGGTGAACTTCTTCCTTCCGGCCATCCATCTTTTAACATGAGCTTTCTCAGACTCTGCATCAGAACAATTACTAATGAAATAATTTTCCTGCCAGTCACCTACTCATGCCAGCTCCAGAACTAGAGATGGATAACACATCTTTGAGAAACTATTTGCATGTTTCCCTGTCTTAGCAGTGTAACATTTCTTTAAGTATATATTTTTATTATAATTACAGGACATTTGAAAAGTTCATAGGTTCATCTTTAAATAAGTTTCATCTTTTAATACGATAAAAACATGAAATCTCTCACTAATATGCCTAACCTGTCAGAGAACGGTATTCAAGTCATAAGTAATGGTTACCTTGGGTCTCCATTTTAAACACCTTGTACTTCTAGCACTACTATACTTTTTTCAAGACCAAACTACATGTTTCCTTTCATAACATTGAATTATCAAACACCCAATTGTTAACACTTCAAAAGTCTGCAATAGAGACTACACTCAATAATGTTGTTTATTAATGTACTAATGGTTATATAATAAATTAAAGCATATAAAACTAAATTCAGCTTTCGTTTAGCTTTCTACTGCATGCATGGCATCAGAGAATGAAGTTGAGTACTTAGGAAAAACGAAACTTCTGCAATGGGCTTGATTCTCTTTACATCAGCTCACAATTGCTTTTTGAAAGCCTAACTGTAATCTTTTATTTAGCTTTCTAGAAAAAAGAGTTCTTGAGATGGAAGACAAGCACACACTTCAGCTGAAGTCAATAAAAGATGAAAAAGATCAGCTTCAAGTCCTAGTAGCCAGACAGAATTCTATTATAGAAGAACTGGAAAAGCAGTTAGTTACAGCTACAGTAAACAACTCAGTTCTGCAAAAACAGCAACATGATCTGATGGAGACTGTTCATAACTTGCTTACTATGATATCTACACCAAACTGTAAGTAAAAGCAGACATCTTTATCATTTGAGTGACATTCCCTAGTTTGTGTACATTATTATCTACAAAAGTCTTAACAATCAGTTTCCTCATGCTTCTGCTTTTCAAAATTATGTATTTTTTCGCCTTAAATTCTGCATCTGACTTAACTAACCTATTTTTTATGGAGGGGGGGAGTGGAAACAACCAGAACATTTATGTGGTTTCTTTTCAACATTTTGCTCAACTTCTATGGTTTATATTGGTTTGCCTGCACACTTCTCCAGTGGTTCAACAAAATACAGAGATGCCAAGTATCATCTTACATGGCACTCATTCATCTCACAATACACACTCTCTTGATCTAGGTTAGACTGCATGATGTAGGCCTGTAGCTTTTCTTCCTGGCTCACAAAAGTTCCTTCTGCCACCTCTCATTGGTCTATGCACACAGAGTTGATTAAAGAAAGGTCAAATTAGGGTGGTTATTAAAGGCAAAGGAATCAGCACTGACCCAGTTTTTAGCACCTACGTATGCCCCAGACAACAAAAAGCACCAGCCCAGGGCAGCAGGTACTCCCAAGAGTCCTCCAGTCTTTCACTGAAGCTTTCCTGTTCATCCTAAAAATCCCTCAGCCTAGCAAATTTTATAGGCAATAATCTCACCCCTAGATGCCTGACAGCCCTGCAACAAATCATAGCCACCGATCATAGATTCCAAATTTATGTAGATTCACATGCTCCATAAAAAATCCACACAAACCATAAACTCAAAGTTATGGCTAAACAGGATTTAAACAAATGAACAAATTCCTTACCTTGAATTTCCTGTCTGATATGGAACTTTGACAAATTAAGAAGGAATAGCTGTTCTATATAAAAGAGTAAAGAATCTGACACGTTTGCCAGTAAAGTTCTTAGGGCTGGAAACACACAAGCATGTAGAACCTCTAAAAAAAGGATTTAAAATTAAATACTAGGAAAATTTTAAAATAAATTGTTACAACTGTTGTTACAACTTCAAGGACAGTACAGATGGACCATGCTACATTACTGTAAGTTGGATCACAAAAAAGGAAAAGGGTGTTCGGAAGTCCTCGCTTTCAGTAGTGTCCTAAATAATATGATGTTGTAGATTTTTCTAAACAAAGTAAATCCTCAATTTTTTGCCTGAATAACTGACACTATTCCCTTAAATACCATTACCAAGGCCGTACAAGTTCCTGCTGATATTATCTGCTATGCTAGTGCACAAATAAGTAAACAAGTCAAAGTCATGTTGGCTACAACACTGTTAAACCCAGAGTGGAAAAAATAATGAATGTTTGCCAAAAAGACAAAATTAGCAGGGAAAGCTTCTAAGACAGTATACAAACAATAGAGTGTGGAAAAGCAATTAAAACACTGAACGTGTTATTTTTATATTTAAGGCAAAGCACGTAAATTGATAACAAATAAGCAAGCTAAACCCAACATAATAAGCAATTGTAATATAAGCATATATTTACATGGCACCTAAAACTTTGTACTAACTGTCTGTGCTTGTTAGATTAAATTAAAAGGGAAAATACACAGAACCAACCCCAGAAGGGTCAAATATGAAATATCAGTCAGCTGGCGAAATGCCAGGAAATTCCAACCTCCATAGTTAATAAAGAACTGAACAAAAAGATGAGCTTTAGATTGTTCTGTAAAACAAGAAGGCTTAGGCATATTAAAATGTATTTTTTACACAAATGAATTCCAGAAGGGATGTTTCCTTGGTGTGTTGGGCTGAGCTACCAAGTTTCAGCTTGGTACATACAAAGCTGTTCCTGCTCAGCACAGGGGCAAAAACTTTGTAAGAGTAGTTACTCCAGTCAGCTGTATTATAAAAGATTTCATAACTCTTATGTTAGATTTCACAATTTTAGAGTACCGGCCAAAGGTCATTATTAATATAATCAGTTGATAGTTAAGATATGTTTATAATAGTAGTTAATGTGTGCAGAGGTTGTAATGCATGTAAGAGTGCAGCAAAGGCAATGAATGGAAGCAGAAACTGTTCAACTGAATGAGATGCTAGATCCTAAGTTTTCTTATTCAACATATTAATGTCATCACTTTTCAACCTATCAAGGAACCACGCTCATATCAAAATAGTGCCTCTAAATAATATAAAGTAGCAACACACATAATTAATACCTTGATCTGTCATTTCTTTTAGGACCAGGCATATTTTTCACAAAGCTTTAAGCTGATTACATCATTAATTGCTTCATAGTAACTTTTATTCATCTCCTCTTAACACCTTCAATTTCTATTGTATTTTTAGCAGCTAAGAACAACTTCATAGCTAAAGAGGAGCAAATCAGCTTCAAAGACTGTGCTGAAGCTTTCAAATCTGGACTGACAACGAGTGGAATCTACACCTTAACACTTCCCAATACAGCACAAGAAAAGAAGGTAGGATGACTATAAAGTGCTACCTCGGCATACCGTGTGTTAAAAAGTTAATCTAGCTGGTAAATATGCTATTTTAAAGGCTAGTTAATAGTGACATTTATTACTTGCCCTTTTTTTTTATGAACATTGCATCATTTACAGATCTGAGTATCTCACAGGAAGAAAGTCCTTCAGGTGAAATCTTGGCTCAGTTGAAATGAATGAGCATTTTGTTGCTCACTTCAACATGCCATAATTTAATTCTTTGTTTCCACATCCTTGTCTCTAAACTGGAAAGACATGGTTTTGATGGATGGACCACTCGGTGGATAAGGAATTGGCTGGATGGTCGCACTCAAAGAGTTGTGGTCAATGGTTCAATGTCCACGTGGAGGCCAGTGACGAGTGGTGTTCCTCAGGGGTCAGTACTGGGACCAGTGCTATTTAACATCTTTGTTGGAGACATGGACAGTGGGATCAAGTGCACCCTCAGCAAGTTTGCAGATGACACCAAGTTGTGTGGTGTTGTGGACATGCTGGAGGGAAGGGATGCCATCCAGAGGGAACTTGACAGGCTGGAGAGGTGGGCCTGTGAGAACCTCATGAAGTTCAACAAGGCCAAGTGCAAGGTCCTGCACGTGGGTCAGGGCAACTCCAAGCACAATACAGGCTGGGCGGAGAATGGATTGAGAGGAGCCCTGAGGAAAAGGACTTGGGAGGGCTGGTGGATGAGAAGCTCAACATGAGCCAGCAATCATAGAATCATAGAATGGTTAGG